TTTGCCGTTACGGATCCGGGTCACGTCACACTCAAAGATAAGACGAAGATGAATATTGAAACACGAAAAGAGATCGGTATCCAGATCGTTACGATGAAGAGATTTCATCCGGCCTTGGCAAACAGAGAATGGGCACAGATGGTCGAAAAGGTCTTAAGATGGATCGATAAATTTCCGGAAGTGGCCGCACAACCTGCAGCTGACGCACCTGGCTCATCACAAGCCCCACCGGTAGCTGCCATGCCTGCTCCAGCACATGTCAAAGCCGGGACATCATCAGCGAAGACGGTTGAGTAGATGACAGATGACGATCTCATGGAACAGAAGAGAAAAATAATTGTAAGATTTTCAGTCATTCAGTCAAGATCTTCAGTATTTACTAAAATAAAGATAATTAAATAGTTATTTGCTTTAAAGTATTGAATACCCCAGCCACCACCAGTATTATAGAGCAACGTAGGTTAGTGAATGCCCAAGATGCCACCAGTATCACAGAGTCGCTACGTGAGTGAATACGGTAAACGGACCGCCGGCCGGCTTTTAAATTTTATCGTTAGAAATTAGATATGTAATGTAGACACTTCAAACCGTGAGATATTGAGGTAGTCAGATTTTTAAATTCTGGAGGCTCAAAAAATTAGAGGTAACGGCCCCGCTGCGCGGGGCTGAGCCGAAATATTTAGAAATTCTGGAAATGTGAAAGCTTTGGAGCCGAATAAAAAAACTTTAAAAAAGCTAAAAAAGTTAAAAGTTAAAAAATGCATAAACAAAGTATCGAAAAAAGCTAAAAGCTGAAGACTAAAAGCTAAAACGGTAGAAAAACAAAGTGCATGTTAAGCAAAAACAAAGCACCCCAATAAATATTACAGTGCTCAAAGTGCTAATTAAGACATAAGCTATACTGCATAGTCACATACGTGAAGTTAAATCGTTATTTTATGAACGCCAACCAGTTGTATCTTGAATGAAAACTGCGTTACGCGTGCAGCAACAATTCTCCTACATTTAAAAACATGGGCTGCTAGGTTCAGAATATATACTTCAACAACCATGTATATTTATTCTTTCTAGAAGCTATAACACATTTATTATTATTATTATTACGGCACAAGAGCAGACAACCCCGAAGGGACTTCAAGTCTGGTCGAACAAAAACAATTTTCTGCTAACAAAACATTTAGGAGAGATTAATAGATCTGAGTAGAAATTTGAAAGAAGGTACAGAACTGGCTTCGAGAATTTTAGGATTAACAGCAAGAATTTTATCAAGAAGACGTTTTAGTCGCATTTCCATAGTCCACCCTCCGATAACTTTCTTTGCCCGCGTAACATCGATTCGGGCCGGTTTCCGCAAGTTGTAGCGCGTGGTGTTATCTTTTACTTGGATCATGTCCAGGAGGTAGGCCGGAAGCGGGAACTGATCTTTGTTCCAGAACTTGAACAACCACACCGCATCGCTCTGACGCCATCGCTCGAATATGTGAGGAATACCCAACTTCTGATACAGTTCCGGAGTAACCGGCATCTTGTAATCAGTGATGGTTTTTAGAGCTTTACGTTGTAGTCCGACTAGCTTGTCGCGCTCAGTCGAAGACGCTGCAGACCATACCGGCGACTGGTGTGCGATATGGCAACCGAAGCATGCGTGATAAAGACCTTTGCGCTGTGACATGCTGAGCCCTTGTTGTGCCCGTTTAATCATGGCAATGCCAAAATTCCCTTTCCGTTGTACCTTTCTGAACTGCTCATTGTGGAGTGGAGCCATGTAACAGTGGCCTATCTGGCTACTGTTCTAGTGGGGTGGCGATCAGCCTTTACCACGATTAAACGGCTGTTGGTGTGAAAGGTGGCACGGCCGGCAACGATGCTGGCCGAGGACGCTCTTACTGATGTACACAATTACACAGGTGGCTCCGATTGGGATGACGCTAGTTCATCCCAAGCGGTCAAACGCAACAACGTAACTCAAGGCATGTTTAATGACAAGGGAATCAAGAACAATTTAAGCACTACAACTTAAGTACTATGCACTACATTTAAGTACTATTTATGCACTACATTTAAGTAACTTCAAAAAATTTTTTTAGAGCTTCTCCAGAACTTAAGATTCTTTTACAGATAAAGGTAGGAAGGTGTGGTCTTAAAATAATTCATATTTTCATAGGGAATCATCCTGAATTTTGAGTTTTTTTTAAACGTTCTGGTCAGAAAATTTTTCAAAGGGTTCTTAAGTATAGGAAACGTAAGGACAGTAAGTATTTAAGAATCCTTACCATTAAGCATTCTGAAGTAAAGAGTACGTACTGTACTGTAACCATGGATATGTGCTGTATCTATCTATACATTCACACAATATTACCGTCAAAACGCGTAATTTCGTGGGTTATTATGGAAAAACCAACGCACGGTCGGTTTTAGTCCAGCTTAGTCTGGAAATGAGCCTTATTTTCCAAAGGTATTTACGCTGAATTTTAACTGTCCCTAGAACTGCCAGGTTTGAAAACTCTCTTAGTCGCTTTAAGTATAGGAAAGCCTGAATCTCCATGGATTACAATACGAGGTCATCCAGAAATTTCGTAAGGACCATAGCAAGAAGTGAGGGGCGGATAAAATTTGCGGCACCTTACATTTAACATACTTAGAATGTCAACCACCGTGGGGGACGGGTGAGAATTTTATCTTAATTAGTCTTCCTGAGATTTCGGAACGATCCAGACAAAGTATTGTTTTACTTAAGTGGTTACAGTACTTGAGAAGCCTGACAACAACATTGCGTAGAACTCTGTAATTTAAGTAAGTATGACATTTGAATTTTGAAGTAAGGACAACTGTAACCATGGATCTGGGACAACATGCATTAATGTAGTTTGAACTGTACTTCGAGTGTACGATAGTTGATTTTTGCGATAGCATAATAATGAGTGACTGACTGTCCCGTGAGCAAAATCTGTAGGTGAGTGAGTGACCGAGCTACCACGACTCATGAGAAAATTTTCTAGATGAGTGAGTGAACTAGCTACCACGACTTATGAGCAAAATCTGTAGGTGAGAAAGTGACCGAGCTACCACGATTGCCCATTGAGGAAAATCTGTACGTGAGTGAGTGACCGAGCTACCACCACAAAATCAGCAGGCGATTAAGTAACCGAGCTACCATCCCTCATGAGCAATATCTATAGATGAGCGAGTCAACTATCTACCACCACTGTCACGTTAGCAAAATCTATAGGTGAGTAGGTGACCCAGCTACCACCACTGTCCCGTGACCAAATCTGTAGGTGAGTGAGTGACTGAGGTACCATGACTCGTGAGCAAAATCTCTAGATGTGTGAGTGGAATAGCTACCACCACTGTCCCGACCGAGTTACCACGACCCATGAGCAAAATCTGTAGGTAAGTGAGTGATCGAGCTACCAACACTGTCCCGTGAGCAAAATCTGTAGGTGAGTGAGTAACCAAGCTACCACGAATAATGAGCAAAATTTGTAGGTATGTGAGTGAGTGACCGAGCTACCACCACTGTCCGCTACCACGACTACTGTCGTTAACACAACTGTCGTATCTCGTAACAGTCCATAAATTCAAGCCTGACCTTTCCAATACACATTTGCCGAGCGCGAGGCTTACCTTGTATTCATACAATCTTACCGCCCAAAACGTAATTAATTTTGTTTTTTATGGATTCGTCAACGCCTGGTCAGTTTAAGTCCAGCTAGGTCTTAAAAAAATCCATATTTTCCAGACCAACCTGTCCTGAGTTTTGATTTTTTCAAAAATATTCTGGTCAGAAAATTTTAGGAGTATGGCAAAACGCAAGTGCAGTACCAAGAATACTTCAGCAGTGCTTTAGTAGTGTGAACTATCTGCATACAGTACTGTATGTAAAAAAAAGTGCATACGTGCGATAGTGTAAAAAAGTACATACGTGGATAGATCCGTAAGTACAGTAATTAAGTTAGAATGGATTTATAAGTAATTCAATTTTGGAAATACCGGACGACTGCCGTACATGACTGCCGGAACAGTCCATAAATTCAAACCTGACCTTTCCAGTTACCACGTGCCGAGCGCGAATGCGCGAGACTTACCTTGTATGTTATAAAGTTCCCGCTGAAACAGGCGGTTGCCTAGCGCGCTGGTCTAGCCTGTCTAGGTAACCGCGAATTGATCATTTTCTTGAATGAGACAGGAAATACTTTAAACAATTTTAATGTATCCAGGAATGTCTATTGAATTGGCGGGGAGATGGGAGTGAGACTATTAAAAGAGAAACCTTACAAAGCTGTGGCCAAAAAAAGTTACGCTTGGTTTTAGATTTTGCTGAACATAGATAGCATCTGGGTTTTAATCTGTAAATGAACAAGCTAGAGTTGGAATCCGGTTCCTTTTGAACGAGTTTTTATTGCAGAGGACAATTTCTGATGTTTCGTTGGTGCTTGGCGGACGTGACCTTCAAACTTCGACCGTGCCCCCATTTAAATTGTAAAGTTCACGCATGCGTCGGGCGTATGGAGTGTTGTCAGATGTATACGTAGCAGGACTAGCTGGGACATAGTCCAGGTTTATCACTTTTGGGTTACAGTGTCAACGAAATTTTTTATCAAATTTTGAGTGGAAGGTAGGATTCTACGGTTAGAAGGGTCGGGCGCAATTTTGAATAGGTCTGCTCTAAGTTTGACCTCACTGCGATTTGAAACATGGTCTCAGCATCGAATCTTTAAGTGCAGTAGATGCAACCATGTGAAAGTGAAATAAGTATTTGTTTTGTTGACGACTGTCACTGCCCTATGGTAATTTTTTGTAAAAACTGCCCCAACTTGGCTCCCCACGGCTGTATGATCGGAATCTTTTATTGATGATGTGATTGATGTCTTGATGTTTACTGTTTACTGCACTGCCGTCTGCACATATTCCATATCGAGATCGAAAGCCTACTAGTGGTGAGTAGTGAAAATGCAAAAAAAGATAGCAATGCGCAGAAGAAGCGGGGAACAGGATCGCAGAGGAAGTTCCCATTTACATATCCTAGAAGCCAGACAATAAAAAAACAGCTGGTTAATTTATCGAAGATTTGCAGGACATAAATTTTCAAAGATAATTAGCAGTTGTCAAAGCAGCTCTTGCCATTAAACAGTTGTAAGACAATCAGCTTATAGCGTCATAGCGATATGCCCCATCCCGTAATAAGGGATCCCCAGATCCTGGTATTATCCTGGAAATATATCAGGATCGTCTTTCCGAACGATATCAACGTTGATGCAGCAACACCGCTTCACACTCGGAACACCTCGTTTATACCGTGGGTGGCCATTTTACTCCATGTCGATAAATCGACAACCCTCAAGTCGACCTCGTCCCACACTTTTGGTTTTCCGCAAGAGTCAAACCCACTGAACCTGAGCAACACAAACTTTTCACGTTAAACATATTGTCCATGATAAGACCAGAAGTGAGTTCATAATGTGCGTGATGTCACTGATCTTGTGGCAGCACTAGCTGCTAAGTTGTGTGAGCCATGGCCCTTCGTGACCTAGGGTAAGCTGTACTGTAAATTGTACAACGACGAATACAAAAAAATTAATAAGATTAGCATTCACATTGGTTATAGCAGCATTGTTCGGACCGTCGGAGAATATTAAACAGTATTGTACTATAACCAGACATACGATATTATTATTAAAAGTCAGTGCTTAGACCAAGAAAGCTTTTTTTACTTCCAACGCTACCCGACGATTAGTAGCATCATCCCGCTCATTACGATCTTACAAGCCCGACAAAGATAAGCTATTGATTTAAATTAATAAAATATGGACTTCAAATTAGAACTGAGTTCGAAGGATACATAAGACGCTACAGCTCACAAGAATTTTATTAAAGCCTGTGGGCTATGAAGTATCCACTTACATTAGGAGGTAATCGCGAATGCTCTGCCAGTCCTCTGGGTAGGTCAGGTTGCTAACCCAACGCGCATGAACAGCCGTAACCTTTGCTACAATGTCCTCCGTGACCGGCAAGAAGCCATCGTTCAAGGCGCACATCAAGCGGCTGGCCATGTGCATGCTGCCGTCGCTGCATGGCAGGAGAAGCTTCGGGATGGTGATCTGTAATTTGTCAATGGCCAATTGCTGCGGCTTGTATGTAAGAGGCAACATCCACTCCTGCTCGTGAGCTGGCAGGGGACGAGAAGTCAGTTCCACGCCTACATGCCGCTCATAGAAAGAATTATGCACGAAGACACTACACATATGCTGACCAAAAAGGTCGGAAACTTTCCAGTTGAGCAGCAAGACGATGTCACAAATTTTCTTATATGACGTAACAAGAGTCGCTGCTCCATGCTTTATACGCGACCGTTCGCATACAGGAAATCCATTCGGCTGGACGGTAATATGGTCTTTAAGCACTAATAGTGGCACCCTAATTTCCATGGCATCTAACAACGGTTCCAAAACGAATGTGGTGGGAAGACTCTCAAGAGTGTCAGACTGATTGTCGTTGAGCTGATTGAGCGGCTGAGCAAAGATGCCGCTTTGAAGCAGTTGTTGTTGTCCGCCTGGAGGAAACAGTTATCGCCGTCGGCTTTGAGGTGCCAGCAGCTTTCGAAAGAGATGGTGACATGTTCCATTATTTTAGAGCTACTCAGCAGCAACTGCCATAAAGCACACACTCTGTGAAGAGACAAAAAGATTTGATTACAGTACTTTTGCTATGAATGATAAATTACAACTATAAAATTCTGTATGAAGAAACAAGGACCGGTTCGAAATCCAAAATGGCAGCAAAAAAATTCACTTACACTGATTGCTGATAAGTTCAGTGCGTATTCACAGTTAGCACGATCGTGGTATTACTCGTATTAGCGGAAATAAGTACGGTATTGTAGAATTCCATAGTTAGTGCAGCTATTAGCCGCTAATTTACTCAGCGCAATTTGCGCGTGGTCTACTAGTGCCAAAGTCTTTAAATTGTAGAATTTATAGTGATTTTCATTTGCCTTTTGTTTTTGCAAGACGGAAATTACCAGCGACAGCAGCAGCAGCAGCGGCGGCAGCGGCGGCCTATTTATTTTCATACATTATCGAGGATAATCAGTAACAGTGAAATTTTAACTACAGTACTACATACAGTAGTAATAGTACTGTAGTCATATCATTAAAAAAACCAAGCCTATTGCAATAAAGCATACGTATAAACTAAAACGACTCGGTCATCCATGCATAATAATGATAATTACGTCAAAACATAAAACGTGAATACTAGCTTTCAACTGTCGACAAATACCGTAGCTTGCTACAGTTTTGTTTACACAGTGAAACAGCAAAATGGGCCTTTCCGACAAGTGGCCGAGCCCTCCTAGTGTTAAGTGTCAACAATACTTCTATATTCCTGTATGTACATTGTACACACAGTAACACACTACACACTATTTTGAATTTGTGATGCATATGCATGGCTATTGCAATGGCATGTGCTATCTGCTATTCTATTGTAATGTCTTAATTCTTACCTGTTGTATTTGTCAAGTACTTGTTAGCTAAATTAAGTTATTATTATTTTTATCACTAGGAAATTATAACCACTCTTTAAACGCTCTTTACACCTTCATTTAATAAAGGCAATCCTTTTCGCACACCGTACTTTATAGAAACTTTTTTCTATTTATTAAATAGAAACACCCTGTCAATGTATTTTATATTATAGGCACCCTTTTTATTTCTCTAACAATAAGTAACATATTGCGAATACAGAATTTGATAAAATCACAGCCTGCGTGCGTCCGTCTTAAAACTATGTAATCGCATACGGAGCACAAACTACAAAGTTGAGTCACAAACACAGTCAGGCTTTCCGAATCAATCCGCTTATCAGACGGCGAGGTTGATCTGCTATTAGTAACTTACAAGTTAGATCAAAACAACGTTACACCCTCATTAACAGAATTTCTTTTATTAACAGCCTCGACGACGAAACGATGAAAATTTTAATTGGCCTGCGTCTTGGAATTGATATCTGTGAGCCGCATAACTGTACCAAATGTAATAAACACGTTGACAAGTTGGGACACCACGGGTTATCATGCAGCTACTCAGCTGGTAGCCATGCGCGCCATAGAGGACTAAACAGCATTATATGCCGCGCTTGTGTTTCAGTTGGTGTTCCTGCTAAGCTTGGGCCACGCGGCACATCCTTTACAACAGATCAACGCTCTGACGGTTGTACAACGTTCGCCTAGAAAAGAGGAATGTGTCTGGCGTGGGACGTGACGTGCGTCGACACAATGGCCATTTCCCATCTCCCATTGACGTCGGTTACGGCAGGACAAGCAGAAGAAAAGACGTCCCGACTGTACGCGTATCTGCAAGGGCGCTATATCTTTTCCCCCATCGCCTTTGAGATGATGGGCCCCTGGGAGCGTCCGATCACTTCGGCCGCGTTACATTTCGGCCGCACAGGTTCATTTCGGCCAACGTTCATTTCGGCCGTGGCTCACTTCGGCCGACACTCATTTCGGCCAACACTCATTTCGGCCAACGCTCATTTCGGCAACTGGATGTGTCGGTCATCTTAGGCTCTCTTAGGTGTCCTATGTTTTCTTAGGTCTCCTTCTGTTTTCTTAGGTTTTCTTAGGGTTCTTAGGTTTGTTATGGTTTCTTTGGTTTATTAGGCTACCACCCATTTCGCCAACCGGACATTTCGCCAACCGGACATTTCGCCAACCAGACATTTCGCCAACAGCCTACAGGATATTTAGCCTACAGTACTTTACGTTTAGCGCCTTAGTCTACAGGACAATTGGCATATGGCACTCTTGGCTGGCCAAAGCAGCACATTTTACATGCATTTTTATTTTAAATGTACAATAAATACATACGTACTGCAGCACATTCACACGTTGTAGTATTACAACAAGAACAAAAACTATTTACAAATATTTTCCCATTTACACCATAACTGACAGTGTGCCATGCAAGGTAAAATAATTAGCAGGAACGTATCGAAAGGCGATTACATGTACTTCTAACACCAAATGCGGCTGAAATGCAAAACTCAAAATATATTAGCAGGAACGTATCGAAAAGCGATTACTTCTAACACTAAATTCGGCGGAAATGCAAAACTCAAAATATATATGAAGTCCGAATTATAAGACAAGCTGCTACGCTGCAGTTTGACCATGAAAACCTTACAACATGATTTCGAGATTAATGGCAACCGATCTCAAATAGCTGATCGTATCGATTTGCCCGTAGTTGGATGCAACGTTTTTTAGCCGCTTGGTGACCTCCAGGTATTGCTTCCTTTGTTTAGGAATTTCACCTGCCATGCGTGAAGCTGCCTCTGTTTGCTGGTGAACAATTTCCCGACACAGTAGGTTGAAAAATTGATAAATGCCGGGATGGTCTTTATTAACGACATCAGAAAACGTGCGATGCCAAGCTTCTAGGCGATTGGTCGTACGGTGAATATCCCTCTCAAGTCTATCCACACAGCTCCAAAATTCAACAGGATACAGAGGCCTTTTAATGCGACAACCGGTTACTCGAAACATAGTTGTTGTTTCGCCGACGTATGTTGTTTTCAAGTACTCGATTAACACATCGTTGTGTTTGAACGGAAAAAACTGGCGCGTCCAGGAGTTCAATAAGCGCTCGTTCTACATCCTGTACCGGCACGAACGCGAGGGCAAAAAGCATGCGACAGGAAATGTTGAACTCTGCATTGGTCGCATAAATAGGCCCGTGTCCCAGGGCAACGAGTTTCCGGTACAGGCTTTGTCCGAAGTGGAAGTTGCAGCCTGTAAATTAATTATTTGCAAAATTTTTATATCTGCAAAAAAAAATTAATAATAGTTAATAATCAAGATTAAGTGACAAGAATTATTAATCATCAATGAATGCTAATAGTATTTCTGCTTTCACTAACAGCAGTAGTAACTAGCAACGGCGTATAACCTTTGAAAATCGTGACATAAGTGCGGGAACAAATTAGTATTAATTAATGCCACTCAATAACAACTAAATAAGAACGATCTAAAATAATTATAATTACTGACTAAAAATCTGTAATCATAAAAACAAAAATTACAATTAGCACAAATAATAACAGCTGTTGCAAAACAACAAAATTCAAGAAAATTAAGTACGTACAGAGAACCTGAATATTTCATGTTTTAATATTTACTTAAACTGCATAAAAAATTACAATTTATTCCATTAATAAAAATATTATGTTAATTTCACCTCTTAATTTTGACGTGGTAAAACATTTCGGAACGCAATCACAGCCGACTGTTCGAAATCCATCAACATGTGTTCGGGTCCGACTTCTTCAGATCCACTTTTCTGCATCAGTGCGTCACGGATAATTGTGAAAAAGCGTCGATAAGTGAGCTCACATTTATTTGGCAACAACGCATAAATAAGCGGAGCCGTTGCACCACAAACATCAGCATGCACCGTGTACAACTGCGTGAAAACAGGCGGGCTGACGCTGAAGGTGCCATCGCTCAGCCAAACATTTGTTCTCTCCAGATAATCGAAGCATTTCGGATCTCCGAACACAATAATCCGATGAATGTCTTCTGCACCAGTATCGGCAGTTAGCACGGATTCATTGCGCGTTGTTTCTTTCAGAAAATAACTGCCATCGATATCCGCCAAGCAAGTTACACGGCCGGTAGGGATACCTTCCGCTTTTCTTTGGCGTCCAATGGTTTTGGCAAGAGCGTTGTAAGAAGACATTTTTACTGCAGCATATACAGGCATCCCGGCGCGAACTTCATCAATAATCTGCCGTGGTCGCTCCACTGTATTGGTTGCACGAACCTTTAACGCCTGTCTGGCTGATTTCGCAGTAACCTTTATGACATCCGGGGCATGAGAATGCTGGCCGCGCTCAACAGCTGCGCCATCGGCATAATATAAACGAGCACTGCAGTGGGCCCTTTCTCGGCAACGCCAGTTCTGACAATTCTCCGTTCTGTCTTCTGCGCGTTTCCAGAATTCGATATACTCATAACTTTTGTAATTTAACACTTTGCCTTTGCGGTTGGTAAAGAAAACGTTATTTCCGTCATAATTAACTAGGCAGTTAATTATCTGTGCCCTACTATGTAAATACGTAGACAAAAAAACCTGGAAAATTGTGGTTAATACGAAATTTAAGATTATCCAACGGCTTTTTCTGTGCGCATATAAGAAGTGGCACTGAGGGTTCGATTTTACGCTTAATCAGCCTTGCTCATAATATGCATATGACTGAGTAATGATTTCGAATCGAACTCATTTACATCAGCAATTGTTCATGTGCCGCTCAGTTTCGAATCACATTATAAGATGTAGAATCTGTACGTCATTGCAGCGTTGAGCCGTGTGCATTAATGCCAATGGCATATATACGATGTCTTATAGCAAAGTACTGTAGTTCAGTAAACGGGAGCAAATCACCCGGTTGGCGAAATGTCCCGTTGGCGAAATGGGATGATACCGGGTGGGATTATGCGTCTTTTTTGTCCTAAGCTGTAAGTAACATCTTTTTGCCGTCCACTGTACAGTGTACAGGATGGGATGACATCTGCCAATATTTCCGCTGAAGTACCTGTTATCTCACAGGCGCCACCTCAACAGTCCTAGTCAGAATCAGACTCCTCACTTTACAGAAAAGCTTTCGCCTGATACGCTGTAGCCTGTAAGGGTATAAGGGCCCGCGCTGAGGCGCTGAGTCTGAGACCTGCTATGTAATACAGACTGCAGTGTAGGCACTAGGCAGTTTCAGCGAATTACGGTTTAACTTTAACCGTAGTCAAGCTGAACAGACAGAGCGATAGAGGTAACAAAATGGGCAAAAGGTCATGTGTCTTTTACAGCAAAGTTTCAAGAAGATCGGGTAATAACCAGACTTTTGGTACACGACAATGCATTTAAACTTTTTGCCCATTTTGTTACACCATATCTCGGCAACCGGATGTTGCGCGCGCAAACGGTTTTCATAACAATGTAAACAAATCATTTAGCTTTAGAATGACATAAGTCATAAAGTATTACAAAAAAAGTGATTCGGAGTGAGGGCAAGCGACAGTTTTGTATATGTATACCATTTTGGACGATATGTACCGGGCCATTTTCCTTAACAACACCATCATTTCCTTAACCGGGTTCCTTAGCGCATCCAGCCGGACTGCGGGAGATCAACCTGGGCAAAGACGTGTCCGAAAAGAACCGGCAGAAAACCGGCAAACGAAATTATATGATTTCAAAACTGAACATCAAAATTACGGCCGGCGATGCTATCATCATTCGGTCTGAGTTACTACAGTATGTAGTAGCAGATCAGCCTCACCGTCTGATAATCGGATGGATCCGGAAAGCCTGACTATGTCTGTATGACTGTATGCCATCGTATTCCCGGTAGCGACCCAAGGAAAGGACGGGGCAAAATCGTGATGGAAACGAAATCAATGACCGCCAAGATATTTCTTACCGTTTGGTTCTCATTTGTGAATGCAGATCCAAATGTGACAAGACATCCCTTAAAAGTGAAGGCGTCAGATCGCGGATACAGGCAATAAACATCGATGCATCACCTTCGGTATCTAACAGAAAAATGACATTCAAAATTCTGATTAATTATTGTGACAGTCAGTCAATAACAAGGATACAGACAGTTAGTTATGATATTATAGGAATCCATATCCGCACTAAAAAACGGGTGTACCGTACGCGACTCGGGGCGAGTCAAACGGCTATTCACCCGGGCCTCTCGGCATGGGAGCCAAACGACTTACGTTTTCTTAAACTCTAGTTACTCTACCATTTTTAATTTTGCCAGGCAAAAAAATTTATACTACATAAGGTGTTGCATAATCGATGCCGCTAATGAAAATGGCTGTCAGCACTTAGCCGTAGTCAAGCTGACCAGACAATGTGGCAGCACTATATCTCCAGACGGTAGATACACGTCAGTCTTAGTTACTAGTTTTATTACAAGTGCAACGAGTTGCCAAAAACGATAATACATTTTTGCTGCCGTTTAAAAAGAATATAAAAAGCTAATCCTGCGTTCTAATAAAGGCATAAGCGTAAACAGTTTCGTAGACACTTCAGTGACCTGACTGTTTGCTATCTCAGGAGAAGTGGTCCGGATAACACTTCGTCGACTGGCAGTTTTGAGCAACGAGGTCTACTTTCATGGTGTAAGCCAACAGAAGAGCACGATTGGTCATTAACTTTTTCTGCCCAATGGTGCCTTTTGTTTAAAGGATGTTTGACCAATTCCATGAAGTGAGAAAACAAAAGAAACAGAGTAAGACAGGTGCGCCAGATTTACTCGTGATGAAAGGGAAGGGAGACAACAGATCAGTGCTATCTCTTTCATCAGCCCAGATGATCCGGATCGACCGTATATGAGAGCACCGGCTTGCGGTATGCTCACCTGTGCTGCGTCTTCTCGGCTGCTCTAGTTGTCTTCCTTGTATGCCTTTTTGTCGAGCAAGGGAATCATTGGGCAGTCTTCTCAAACTTCCCATGGCTTCCCATTTTTTTGTTGGGTAACGGCATAACATATATCACTGAAAATTTACCAGTTACATACGAATGCTGTTTAGTATAATGCCTGATTTTCTCGAAACATTTCATTCACGCAGCAGGACGGTGTGGCCCTTTGAATGCGCATGTCCCAAAGGATGGTGACTCACACCATCTCAATTCTGGACTTCCGGTAGCACTGAGAAGGTCGAAAACAACACTATCAAAAACTAGACCCGTTTTCATGCACATAGCCAAAAAATTTTGTTAAAAAATTATTTTTTTGAAATTTGTTACTGAATTAATAAGGTCACTTCTGGTGTGAGTAACCGTGCTAGTAGACGAAGTGATAAAGTGCGGATAACGTGTGCCCGGCCCGGATAAAGTGCGCGAAAGCGAAAGTTCCCGTGCATGTACGAAATTACGAATATGGTACCACTTATCCGAGTCCCTTCCATATTTATGATAGTCCCAGCGGTCATTGGGAAGTTGGTTACCACGGATGCCATCTGGCTTAAGCTTGTGTGGTCACCTTCTTGCCACTGGCTCATTGGAGGATGGTTCGTGATGACGATTTTAAGGCTGATTTCAATCCATGATAAATGGGAACAGATGAATGAAACAAAGATCGAGTACTGTACCTGTACACAATGCCACAACGTGACCCACGCTTGACGGTGTACTATACGGTAACCCGGATACAACTCTTCGCAGGTAGAAAAACAGATCCGTACTCGAACCGAGCAAGCCAATTTCGATACATTAATCATTCCGGCCGCGAAGCATGCCGTCTGCGTTACCCAAATATTGCTTATAAATTTGAGTTTTGACGAATTTAAAACAAAATCGAATAATTTCGAATTATGGCTTACCCGTAAACACCGTAAAGAAAACGTAAACAGCTCGCTTTACAATAAAGTGCACATGGTGACACTATATGCGACAGAGGTTGAAATCATCCCACAGTATAAACAAAGAGAAAGAAAACACATAGTACCGCAACGGTTAGAAATTTGCTGTAGCAAAATTCAGTACTGTAACGATCCCGTAGAGTTTGTGTACGGGAACACAGATCACGGGCAGCGTGTGATAGATCCCTGCGCGAGCATTATATGTTTGACTCACGCTCACTCGTATCATTGTAACTTTAGTAAAAAATTTTTTCACAAGTCAGCTCGCTCGATGGAACAACGCTGGACGAATCTGATCAAGTTTGTTTCGCGCGAAGCGGGAAGTCACGCTGACTTTTCGCGCCAAGCCCGAGACCGACGCGCAATTTTACATTAAAACCGCTCAGAATTCTATAAAAGCTAGTACAAACAAAAAAACAGCGCTCAGTTCGCTAGTGACCTCGCTCGGCTCGCGCAAGGCAGGAGCGGTAACAGCCCAATCATCCGGCGCGCGAGCCGGGTGCCGAGCACAGGGCTCGGCGCTGGCACAGGGCTCTACGGCTCTACCGTGTGCGTGTCCCGTGTAGGAGTCACATAATTACAGCGATTTCGGCACGTTCCAGTGAAAGGGTCCAAACCTGTGGCACGGTTTACAACTTTAACCCAGGACTTCCTAAATCAGCGCTCCCCAGCATTCCTAATACGCGGCTCTAGGGTGCCAAATCTATAATTACGGTACCTGGCGTTTTGTAGAAAGAATTAAAGTAGAAATACCAACAATTAGGATAGGCGACTAACCGACTTCGTAAGGTATATCTTCGCTTGAGGGGGATATTCGATAGTGCATAGGCGGTAAATCAACGCGGCTGGCCAGATGTGTTCCCAAGATTTCCGGCAAGCTTTCAGCCATCCAGTGTGTCGGTTTTGTGTCCGTTGCGAGACTGGCGATGATGAGCATGCAACCCTCCTGGTCAAAACGAAGATGAAATCGGCAGCGGTCAGCCTGATTTTCATGTGTTAAATTTAATCTGGCTTGAATGGCGTCCTTAACATGCTTGATGATGCGAAATTTGTCGGAAGGATCACGCAGAAGGTCTTGAGCGTGGCCAAAAGGGATGCAGTGCTTGGTATACAGAAAACCACTGCGGCGGTCTAGCAAAGATGGTTCGCTGGGTGGTAACGCACTGGCCACTTGGCGGAGGTGGACCAGCTCGAATCCAGCACTATTTGCTTGAGCGCTAGTACTGGAAATTTCAGTCCTGATGCAAAACATTTGACAGTCCGAGTTACAACCATAAAGCGTGTGTAACATGACGGCTGGTCGAAAACAAAACGGTCCGTTGTATTCTTCACGCAGTGCCGCAAATATCCGAACGTTCTGACTCTTGTGCCAACCTTTGTTGGCGAGCTCTGTATCCCAGTACGATGGCAGAGGCCAGACGTCTTTCATGTGCATCCAGCGAGCTTCGACTAATTTGGAACTTAAGTGGACGAAGACGTAGTCACCGTCAATATCTTGGACATTTCCAAGCCACCATGTGTCATCGCTGCGGACGGCAACAGTGTTGTGATAGCTAATTTGATTGGCTTCTGCCAGCAGCGTCTGATATAGCGGCATCCCTTTTATAGGGGCCTAAAATAAAAAATCCTTTAAAAATTGATCAGAAGTCATAAATAATAAGAATCTTTGGATCCAATGCAGCAAATGTCCAATGACCACAAAACACAAAGTTCCGGCACTATCTTACAGAACTCACTTAAAGTGCGTGTCGAGCGGGCCTAATACATTCGAGTAAGACAAATTGTTACCACGGGCACGGAGGCAGCAATTAGTGCAATAATATAGAAAAAAATTGGAATTGCGCGGACCATTAAATAAAAAAAGGCCTGTGGTCACAGGTTCCGACCAAAATTTTACCGACTAAAACGTACTCGTATTTATGCGCAGTTTTTATCTCCTCGACCTCGACAACTCGTGGTCAGTTTAAGTCAAGCTAGCTCTTGAAAAATTCCATATTTTCTGTAGCTGTGCCAATAGATTTTTGTTTGTTTTTATTAACCAGTGGTCAGAAGATGGTTTCACCAGTTCTCAAGTATGGGAAACGTAAAGAGCACTCGAAGAAGTATTCACTGCACAGCAGAAGTGCAGGAAACGTAAAGAGCACTCGACGAAGTATTCACTGCACAGCAATAACAAGAAAAAGTACTTAACACAATGACTGCAACCAACTGAAAAACTAAGAGAATTAGTTATGGACCGATCTACATGTAAATGGATGAAGATGTTTTTACACCGATCCAGACTTCCACGATTTTTTCAATTTTAAAATGAATTTAAAATTTTTGAAATTCGTTTTAAAATTTGAAAAACATGCTAGAACAGTGGATCGGTGTAAAACATTCTTCGTGGTTATGTGCATTTACGTGCAAAATCTGAAAGAGATCGGTCCATAATGACTTTACACCTGAAAGCATTTAAACTTTGGGAATTTTCACAGCCATAACTCCCGAACCGGATGTTGCGCGCAAACGGTTTTCAGGCCTGTGTATACAAATCATTTGACTACAGAATGTCATAAAACAAGAGAAAAAGGGGTTTGGGAGTGCGCGAAAGTGAAAGATTTCGTGCATGTACACGAATTTGGTACCATGTACCGGGCCACTTCCCTTAACCAAGTCAGTTTTGGCTACTAGAACTACTCGTTTAACCGGTTAACTAAAGTTGAGTGGTTAGAGGTCATCTTAAAAAAATATCTGCACTAAAAAGCAAGCTCGTTTTATGCATCCGCTATAGTCTCCGTTGGTTTAGTTTTGGTTTAGTTTTGGTTACTAAATTTTTTAGTTTTGATCAGGTTGGCTACCGATCACTTCGGCCGTTTTCATTTCGGCCGCGTTCATTTCGGCCAAAGTTTTTCGTCGCCGTTCACTTCGGCCACAGTACATTTCGGCAGACTCTAATTTCGGTTTAATTTGTGCAGGAAAACGTTAATTCCGAATTCCGATGTAACTTTGTAACTTTGACAGTAATTTATTATTTAAATCAAAGAAAATCTAAGAAAACGATATTGGGCTGACGTCCACTCCTGGAAAGGCTAAAAATTGAATAGAACTAAGAAAAATACCAAACGTTAAAACCTTAAGAAGCCCTAAGAAAAACTAAGTAAGCCAAGGTACAGAAGATAACTCACCGATACCAAGAATAACCAACGAAAACCTAATAAACCCAAGAAACTTAAGAAACCTAAGGAACTTAAGGAACCTAAGAAACCCAAGAAAACCTAAGAAACACAACAAAAACTAGGAAAACTTGAAACTTGGAGATGGCTAAATGTGATGTTGCCCAAATGAGCGGCGGCCGAAATGAGTGCTGGCCGAAGTGAGCCTCGGGCGAAATGAACGCATGCGGCCGAAATGTAACGCGGCCGAAGTGATCGGACGCGGGTCAGGCTACGGTAAGTTAAGCGTTAGTTATTATAGAGGTTAATTTTTCACTAGCTCTATAAAGTTTTACTGCTGTTATTTGTGGCTGCTCCCCAAATTCGTGACGTTTAGCGCAAGACCGCTTCAGCCACGACGATAACTCGCGAAGTTACCGTAAGGCCTGCGCGCTTAGCAAAGCACTGCATATCCGGGTTCAGTTGAGGCGCACGTACGTACGTGCTCTGTATCCGCTAAGCGCGATGCGACGGATGCACACTTAACTACCATCGCATTTGCTTTTAATTTTGCGCAACTGCAGTTTTAACAGCGTTCAGCGATCAGCCAAAAGAAAAAATTAACCTGTCTACTATTTTTAGTTTGCCCATCTCTACCGGTCACTTACACCACCACCCCAAGTGGCGCGCTACATGAATAGCTGCTGATCGCACAACGTGTTTTTTAGTCATCAAAACAAAATTGTAAATGTTGGAATTTCAAATTTCTGAAGTTTGCAAACGCGAAAGAGCGGTTCTTTTAGCTTGCACGGTTGCACCCGGTCCAGTTCTAAGTATTAAAATTTCCAGTATAAGTTCCAGTTTTAATACTTTGAACACAAATTATTCTCTAACCACAGGCTACTGAAAACCAAAATCAGCGTGCGAACCTATGAAAAGTATCTGTATACTCGTAAAAATCTTCATGAAATCTTACGAGGAATATTAAAATTAATAAGTAACGCGCTTTGTGTATAATAAATGAAACTAGAAATATGAAATTTTTTTTTAGTAAATAGGGCTTCCAAAACTGTAAGTATTAGTAGGCTGATGGCCGGGTCATCGGTGGCAGTCAGCATGAGTCAGAACACGGCTCAGTCATGCGAAATTTAATCCACGTTTAAAAAATGGCGCACCTATCTTAAGGCCATGGCTATGCCGGCAAAATTCTTTTAGAAAGTGCAACATTCCCAGTTATTCGAAACTTAAACATTTTTTCGATCCAACTGTTTACATAGTTAAATCCAAGAAAAATTCAGTACTAACAGCCCCAAACAAAAACCGAGCGAGGCGCTTTAAAATCGGTCTCAAAGTTACCACCCAAAAAAACTAACCAGTCCGAACAAACTCATAGGGGAGATTTGGGGTCGTTACAAAATAGACAATAAAAATCCCTAGCACCTTGCGAGAGCTTTGAGAAAACAAAATTTTAAAGCTGTAAACAGCGATAAACACTTTTCTAGTTGATTCTTTAAACAATAACTTCAGTAAAACTTAGTTTTTTCAAAATCTCTCTTGCAGTTAAACTATTGAGACATTCACCTGTTGACTGCGTGATTTTTGTAATAGAAAATGTGCTCCGTAAATGATTAGTTCCATTTCAAAGCTTATCGACCGCTTTCCAAACGGGTGCCTTTGTAAGTTCATGTAAGTGGCTACCACCCATTTCGCCAAAGGAACATTTCGCCAACCGTGCATTTCGCCTAGCAGTTTGAACTGAAATTACAACAGCAGTTCGAATCGAAGTTATCACGAGTAGTTCGAACCAGAATTTTAACATGAGAAAACAAAACCTAAAATAAAACCTAAGAAACCTAAAAAAACCGAAATTATTACGAAAAGTTCGAATCAAAATGTTAACATGAGAAAATAAATACCTAAGAATAAAACCTGAGAAACTTAAGAAAACCAAAGAAAGTAAAAAATTGTGTCTGTCGAAATGCCCCTTTGGCGAAATGTCCCGTTAACGAAATGGCAGGACACCTTTCTGGTACTCCATAGTATTTACTATTTAGTATTTACTACTGTATTGTGCACTGGTGCAGAGAAGGCTCTTACGATAGTTTTGTTTTGATTTTTCGAGAGCCGCACTAATTGCGGACTCTTTCAGCACACGCTTCCATGCCACATACGCTCCCATGCCATCCCAGCAAATTAATAGTTCTCAGAAATTTGTGAAGTATGAGCTAAGCTCAGCTAACTCAGGGATGTAAGGTACAGTAACTGCTAAAGCTAAACCGTAAACAACGAGTGCCTGTACTTGGTGCGCTACCATTTCGGAATATGGACATTTCGGCATTGGACACTTCGCCATAAGACATTTCGGCATAAGACCATTTCGGCATAGGGACATTTCGGCATACGACAATTTCGGCATAACATTTAAATAATTTACTGTTTAAGAACTTACTGAGCTTTGAAATTTACTAAACCTAAGAAATCTGTGAAAGCGAGCAACGCTAAAAATTCCAAGAAAATACAAAAATACGAAATCCTAGGAAAACGTCGGCAAATCTAAGTAAACTTTATAAAACCTAAGAAAACATCGGAAAATCTAAGAAAATTTAAGAAGGCAAAAATCCTAAGAAAGCCTAAAAGACCTAAGAATACCTAAGAATGCCTAAGAAACCAAAGAAAACTAACAAGGTTTAAGAGAACCAAACAAGCCTAAGAAAACCTAAAAGACCTAAGAAAACCTAAGCCGAAGGCCTAAAAAAGCCTAAGAAAACCTAAGAAAACCAAACATACCTAACTTAAGAAAACCTAGGAAAAGCGTACGAACCCTAAAGAGTCCTAGAAGCTGCCAAGCTGGAAATGACAACCACATTAAAAAGGTAGTTTAAAGAAATTTCAATGAAACTACTGCATTGAGCAAAAAGAAAGGATATAGAAAGGATATAGAAAATTCAACTGGTATTTTGCGAAACAAAACATTAGAATATAGAAATGTCCGTATGCCGAAATGTCCGCCTGCCGTAATGTCCGTATGCCGAAATGTCCTTATGCCGAAATGTCCCTATGCCGAAATGGTCGGACACGCTGTATTTAATGGGCTATCAAATCACGTAACCGACAGCAAATTTTGGAACTTTAAGATTTAATAAATAAAAAATACAGCCTCAAAGAGCACGAGCCACGAAGTACTGCACGTCTGCAGTCTGCACCAGACTTGGGCCACCTTTTTGGTGGAGTGGGAAAAATCCCACCTTTTCCGCCCACCTCCACCTTTTTTGGAGGGAGGAGGTGGGTGGAAAGTTTAAAGGTGGTGGGCGGTAGCGGGGTGGAAAATACGAGCGCGGGCGGAGGTGGGAAAAATTCAGAAGTGGGAGGAAAACGGGCCCGCCACATCAAAAAAAATTGTTTTTCAGCAAAAAATCGAAAAAAACATTCCGCGCTCCGCGCGGATTTGATGACATCAGTGTCACTTTTCGTGACTTGAACACGTGAAAAATTAAATAAATTTTTAATCAAGTGATTTCTGTACTATTTTTGAAGTGCAACACAAGCCTAACACGCAATAAAACCTGACGAATTTTTTTTGAAACAAGTGGGCGGGCGGGTGGACAGTGGAAGCATTTATCGTTGGCGGGCGGAGGTGGGCCATTTTTTTAGCGTGGTGGGGTGGGGTGGAGTGGAAAATTTGTGGGGTGAGGTGGGGTGGGTGGAAGGTGGAAAACGCAAAGGTGGCCCAAGTCTGGTCTGCACTCTGCAATATTAAACACACTGCAGTAGAATGTACTCACTACTCACTGTAGTGCATACTGCATACGCATAGTGCTGTATCAATAGATTCATATATCCTTACGTCCTTATTTTTTGGAAATTATCTCCTAAATCAAGATTGATTTTTTCAGTAAGTTGATAATTTTATAAAATAAAGCATCGCACAAACGCTTCTACCTGTATCTTTAAAAAAATCTTAAGTTTTGGAGTAGGTCTAAAAAAATTTTTAGAAGTTGTAGTACTTAAGGGTTGTTAGTACTTAACGGTTGCTAGTTTTGGAAATTATCTCCTAATTCAACGTTGATTTTTCCACTAAGTCGTTAATTTTATAAAATAAAACATCTTCCAAAGCTTCCTACCTGCAGCTTGGAAAAGAATTTCTGGTTTCCGGAACGTTTCAGAAACCCTTTCAAACTTTCTGTACTTAGCGTTTAAAGTTCATAGAAATTTCCAGTAACTTCTGGAAACGTCTCGAATGAGCAAATACAAATTTCGCAGCTTAGCAACCTGAACTACAGATCTCTGTATGTTATTTAAATTGTCAATTCCATCAAAAATTCAAAACTATAACTTTTTTTAAATTCTTGAAACCTTTAAGACGTTTTCAAAACATGTTCGAAAACCTCAAAATAACTATTAATTTTTCCAAAGTCGGCTCCAAAGCTTTTAAATTTCCAGAATTTCTAAATATTTCTAAATATTTCGACTCGGCCTCGCGCAGCGGGGCCGTTACCTCTAATTTTTTTAGCCTCCAGAGTTTCGAAATTTTAAAAATGTCTAGAAATGTCTGAGTACCTCAATATCTCGCGGTCTTAAGGCATTTGGCCGGATTGGCCCGGTACATACTACGAGTACATAGCACCAAATTTGTATAGTATATCCACGACAACTTGCGCTGCCGCGCGCTCCTAAACCCTAATTCTCATAGCGGTCCTCATACTCATAACCTTATTTCTAATTCACAATTCATACTCAAAACGGCTTTCATAATCATAATCATACTTTGATCCTACCGGTTGTCATATTTTTGTTCATATTCATAACTCAAGCCTTTACCGCTACTCATACCAGTGCGCTACTGCGCTTAATGTTATTAGTGAAAGCATTATAGCATTCATTAATCGTAAAAACCGTAATATTGACACTAAGTTTTAATAGCTGTTGCGCAAATTGTGCACCGTTCTTGAATTTAAAAAAATTTTTTTTTTATATCTGCTTTTGTCCTGGATAGCAAACTGCGTTATTACTGTTCCTGTGTTCCATTGCAGTACAGTGTGCACGATGCTTTTGTCGAAATTTAATTTTGTGGAAAGTTAACGGCCCGTTAACTTTTTGTTTGGTGGAAGCTACGTAATAAGCCCATTAACATTTCAGGTTTTTTTTCATTAGCACTAGTTTAAAAAATGGACGAAAGTGGACAATGGTAGATTTTCTTGCTGTTTTTATATGCAGATTAAATTACCTAGCTTTCGTTTCTCAGTTCAAGTTTACTGAAGTCATTTTGTAATGAAGCCATTTTCTAATAAATATTTTTCGCTACTAATTCAGGTAAAATAATTTTTTACGAGTGGACGAAAGCGGGCGGTGGAGTAGACTTGCATGAACACATGGTTGTAATTGAATATTACATTTTTGACACACCAGCATGAGTAATGGTTAAGATGTGAGCAATAATTATAAATAAATTAATATGATGACCGGTAGGACCAAAGTATGATTATGATTATAAGGGCCGTTATGAGTATGAATTCGGAATTAGAAGTAGGATTATGAGTATGAGTATGAGAGCCGTTACGAATATTAGGTACATACCTAGCCTGGCTAGCCATGCAAAAAAGTGTTTAGGATTGCGCGACAGCGGAAGTTCCCGTGTATTTACCCGAATTGGTACTATGTACCGGGCCAAATCCCTTAATTGTCTAATTTATATGTAATTTCTAAGTATCTAAAAGCCGGCCCGCGGCCCGTTTACCGTATTCACTCACATAGCGGCTCTGTGATACTGGTGGTAGCTTGGGCATTTACTAACCTCGAAATCTAATAAACATGTATTTATTTTATCTTAATAAATACTGAAGAGCTTGACTGATGGCTGAAAAAATCTTACTATTAGTATCTAAAGATGCAGCCTGCAAGGACACCTTGGGCGAACGTTAACTGTTCCCCGCAAGTTTCCATTAATTCTGCGCTGAAAAAATGGTATTTTATGGGCATCGTGTACAGATACAGGTCGATCGCGCCAAGTGTTTGCAGTTTTTTTAAAAAATTATAAAATGTCAGCCGTCAACAATTAAATAATTATTTCATTTTAACATGGTTGCAGCATGTGTCTAACATGTTTTGCACTTGAATCGCCCTGTTGAGAACGTGTTTCGAATCCCAGTGATATCAAAATTGTTTCCGACCGTCTTGCAAATGGGGCTTGACCCATCGGCCGTGGTTGCAGTCTTCCGACTTTAAATTTGTTTAGAGCTTTCGTTGACGTCTTATCGCAAAAGTGATAAATTTGGGCTGTTGCCCAACCAATACTCTTGCGAAACATGCCTGCCATGAACCGAGTTTCACCAAACCCGCCTGACCTTTGCAGAGTCAGTGCGGGCACCGTTAAAAGGGTGGGCAACCCCACTTCCGCCGTCTCAGTGCAGCCATGGAGTGTCTCAAATGTGCATTCTTGACAAAATCACGTTGAGAAAGTGTTCACTGTCCGCTTAAAACTTTTCATCAAAACAAAAGGCTCAAGACGTTCCAATCCGCCCACTTTCTACAGCACTCATGACTTTTTTTAGTCATCGCTTCACTAATTTTTTTCTCCATTCGTCCAGGACTTATATCTCCTTTCCTGTGTTGTAGATATTTGTCGACACTCCAAAATTAACTCAGGTAGTCCATGTCTAATTCATGGAAATTATTAGTTTGAGATCCCCCGCTCCTTGCGCTAGGCAACCACATTTCTCGGTAGGTGCTTTCTACCACATAAGTCTATGGAGATGCCCTTTGCTTCGAGTTCCCCTCGATCACTGATCACGCAAGATTTTGCTAATAACGCGTAACGAACATCTTAAGGGCTGTACAATAACTTCCAGAATACTCCAGGCAGCAATCTTAACGCTGAGATTTTCCCAAGGGTAGTTATAACCATAAAAAAACTGACAGGTGCCCCTTCCCAAAAAACACCGCTCGGCTCCCTACTAGCACATTAAAGATATTAGTTTTGATGGTGCTGGATTTGCAAAAAAATTTTATTAGAATTTTATTTTTTTTAAATATGCCGACAAAGCAACAAAACGACTCACAGACATATTTTTAATTTATTTTTGCAACTGCCCACACTTGGTGTGATCGACCTGTATATGACCCCACTCAATCCATTTTATCACCGTTAAAATATTATCTGTGGAACCAAAAAATTCAAGTTTTCAGTTCATGAGATCGGTAATATAAAGTTACATTAAAAACGCGATAAAAAACCGCATTTCTTCATGTTTAAAATGTTTTCGCAGCTGGCCTCGCTGGGTTTTATATTTGAAATATTTCTCAAAATTTTTTTTATTGCTGTACGAAGTATATATTTTTTATTGCTGTACGAATTTTTGTATTTTTTTCATACTTCCATACCTCAAACACAACTGGTCGCGCGATAGCGCGACCGATACTTGTATTCTTCTAATATTGTGTGGCCACAACTTCTGAGCCTTTTTTGCAAATAAAAATACTGTTTCATTTATACTACGGAATTATTCTTTCTTTCTACAAAAGATCGGAAATTTTTGAATTTAGACCCGGAAAATGTGCCCTGGTTAGGCTTACGCGTACTATTACGCTTTTCGTACAGTGAGTTATACGCTAAGCGGATACGACTCACTGTAAAAAAGGGTGCCAAGTTGAATCGACAACACAGTAATACTCGCATATAGGGATTAAGTACCATTTTACCACATAATCAACCAAGAGCACAGCCATAGACCTCTATTTTCAAGAGCATTGCTTTGACATTGATTTTTGTCCGTTTCGCCCAATAAAGAAAATAAATTTAACAAGTATATCATACGAGATCACAAATAAAAACAGCTTTGTTGCTACCTTAAAACTAAAATGTTTTGTACATATTCAAATTGATATTAGTCAGCCACCAACCACCAACTTACCATAATGGTCGCAATCGTTTTTTCGCCCATAGCAGTGAGCTGAAAATAAAAACCAAGATGATAGATAGATGACATATATTTATAATTTTTCGATTATGTCATTATTTACTTTAGATCTTCAAGTGTGTATAACCTGATCAAGGTCTGTTAGTCGATTCTGTAGTTGCACATTGTAGGAAATCCTGGATTCTCTGTTTTCCAAGAACATGCTGCCACAAATGATCAAAGAAACGCGTTGCGCCCCAGTTCGTCAGAGACAGAGCTACTCTCTCTGTGCTCTATCGCTCTGTCTGTTCAGCTTGACTACGGTTAAAGTTAAACCGTAATTCGCTGAAACTGCCTAGTGCCTACACTGCAGTCTGTATTACATAGCAGGTCTCAGACTCAGCGCCTCAGCGCGGGCCCTTATACCCTTACAGGCTACAGCGTATCAGGCGAAAGCTTTTCTGTAAAGTGAGGAGTCTGATTCTGACTAGGACTGTTGAGGTGGCGCCTGTGAGATAACAGGTACTTCAGCGGAAATATTGGCAGATGTCATCCCATCCTGTACACTGTACAGTGGACGGCAAAAAGATGTTACTTACAGCTTAGGACAAAAAAGACGCATAATCCCACCCGGTATCATCCCATTTCGCCAACGGGACATTTCGCCAACCGGGTGATTTGCTCCCGTTTACTGAACTACAGTACTTTGCTATAAGACATCGTATATATGCCATTGGCATTAATGCACACGGCTCAACGCTGCAATGACGTACAGATTCTACATCTTATAATGTGATTCGAAACTGAGCGGCACATGAACAATTGCTGATGTAAATGAGTTCGATTCGAAATCATTACTCAGTCATATGCATATTATGAGCAAGGCTGATTAAGCGTAAAATCGAACCCTCAGTGCCACTTCTTATATGCGCACAGAAAAAGCCGTTGGATAATCTTAAATTTCGTATTAACCACAATTTTCCAGGTTTTTTGTCTACGTATTTACATAGCAGGGCACAGATAATTAACTGCCTAGTTAATTATGACGGAAATAACGTTTTCTTTTACCAACCGCAAAGGCAAAGTGTTAAATTACAAAAGTTATGAGTATATCGAATTCTGGAAACGCGCAGAAGACAGAACGGAGAATTGTCAGAACTGGCGTTGCCGAGAAAGGGCCCACTGCAGTGCTCGTTTATATTATGCCGATGGCGCAGCTGTTGAGCGCGGCCAGCATTCTCATGCCCCGGATGTCATAAAGGTTACTGCGAAATCAGCCAGACAGGCGTTAAAGGTTCGTGCAACCAATACAGTGGAGCGACCACGGCAGATTATTGATGAAGTTCGCGCCGGGATGCCTGTATATGCTGCAGTAAAAATGTCTTCTTACAACGCTCTTGCCAAAACCATTGGACGCCAAAGAAAAGCGGAAGGTATCCCTACCGGCCGTGTAACTTGCTTGGCGGATATCGATGGCAGTTATTTTCTGAAAGAAACAACGCGCAATGAATCCGTGCTAACTGCCGATACTGGTGCAGAAGACATTCATCGGATTATTGTGTTCGGAGATCCGAAATGCTTCGATTATCTGGAGAGAACAAATGTTTGGCTGAGCGATGGCACCTTCAGCGTCAGCCCGCCTGTTTTCACGCAGTTGTACACGGTGCATGCTGATGTTTGTGGTGCAACGGCTCCGCTTATTTATGCGTTGTTGCCAAATAAATGTGAGCTCACTTATCGACGCTTTTCACAATTATCCGTGACGCACTGATGCAGAAAAGTGGATCTGAAGAAGTCGGACCCGAACACATGTTGATGGATTTCGAACAGTCGGCTGTGATTGCGTTCCGAAATGTTTTACCACGTCAAAATTAAGAGGTGAAATTAACATAATATTTTTATTAATGGAATAAATTGTAATTTTTTATGCAGTTTAAGTAAATATTAAAACATGAAATATTCAGGTTCTCTGTACGTACTTAATTTTCTTGAATTTTGTTGTTTTGCAACAGCTGTTATTATTTGTGCTAATTGTAATTTTTGTTTTTATGATTACAGATTTTTAGTCAGTAATTATAATTATTTTAGATCGTTCTTATTTAGTTGTTATTGAGTGGCATTAATTAATACTAATTTGTTCCCGCACTTATGTCACGATTTTCAAAGGTTATACGCCGTTGCTAGTTACTACTGCTGTTAGTGAAAGCAGAAATACTATTAGCATTCATTGATGATTAATAATTCTTGTCACTTAATCTTGATTATTAACTATTATTAATTTTTTTTGCAGATATAAAAATTTTGCAAATAATTAATTTACAGGCTGCAACTTCCACTTCGGACAAAGCCTGTACCGGAAACTCGTTGCCCTGGGACACGGGCCTATTTATGCGAACAATGCAGAGTTCAACATTTCCTGTCGCATGCTTTTTTGCCCTCGCGTTCGTGCCGGTACAGGATGTAGAACGAGCGCTTATTGAACTCCTGGACGCGCCATTTTTTCCGTTCAAACACAACGATGTGTTAATCGAGTACTTGAAAACAACATACGTCGGCGAAACAACAACTATGTTTCGAGTAACCGGTTGTCGCATTAAAAGGCCTCTGTATCCTGTTGAATTTTGGAGCTGTGTGGATAGACTTGAGAGGGATATTCACCGTACGACCAATCGCCTAGAAGCTTGGCATCGCACGTTTTCTGATGTCGTTAATAAAGACCATCCCGGCATTTATCAATTTTTCAACCTACTGTGTCGGGAAATTGTTCACCAGCAAACAGAGGCAGCTTCACGCATGGCAGGTGAAATTCCTAAACAAAGGAAGCAATACCTGGAGGTCACCAAGCGGCTAAAAACGTTGCATCCAACTACGGGCAAATCGATACGATCAGCTATTTGAGATCGGTTGCCATTAATCTCGAAATCATGTTGTAAGGTTTTCATGGTCAAACTGCAGCGTAGCAGCTTGTCTTATAATTCGGACTTCATATATATTTTGAGTTTTGCATTTCCGCCGAATTTAGTGTTAGAAGTAATCGCTTTTCGATACGTTCCTGCTAATATATTTTGAGTTTTGCATTTCAGCCGCATTTGGTGTTAGAAGTACATGTAATCGCCTTTCGATACGTTCTTGCTAATTATTTTACCTTGCATGGCACACTGTCAGTTATGGTGTAAATGGGAAAATATTTGTAAATAGTTTTTGTTCTTGTTGTAATACTACAACGTGTGAATGTGCTGCAGTACGTATGTATTTATTGTACATTTAAAATAAAAATGCATGTAAAATGTGCTGCTTTGGCCAGCCAAGAGTGCCATATGCCAATTGTCCTGTAGACTAAGGCGCTAAACGTAAAGTACTGTAGGCTAAATATCCTGTAGGCTGTTGGCGAAATGTCTGGTTGGCGAAATGTCCGGTTGGCGAAATGTCCGGTTGGCGAAATGGGTGGTAGCCTCCCACCCACCGCATTCCGAACGCATGCGGTGCAGTGCGCGGTACGACTCGGCTAAAATTAATATACGTTTGTCGTACAAGTGCACTTCCCACATGCGTACGGATATCTGGGTATGGGGTTATGCGTCTCTTCAGTCCTAAGCTGTACATTTGTATCGTGCTACAGGCAGCGGATATTCAGCTGTATATCCGTATTGCCAAGTCAAGGTTACAGCGCAGTGCGCACGTACGCTAAATGCCGACCGGCAGCGAAAGCAGTTCGAAAACAGTAAGTATTCAAAACTTGCACTTCTGCAAATACGCAATATATACCCAAAATTCTATCTTATCTATAAGTAGACAAGTTGTCCAAGGAGCACCTTAAGCTAACGCAGCAACTGCTTGACAAATACCGAACTTCCTTTGAAGAGGAAGCAGCTAAACGGACCTCAGCGGCTGCAGCGCCGTTGGCCGCTTGGGTGCGCGCTTGTTGTCGCTATGCTGAAGTTCATTAGAATATTGCTCCGCTGGCAATGGAAAAACGAAAATCAGAAAGGTCAGATTATGGACTTCGGAAACTTGCTAGATGAATTGTACATTTTAACCTTTCAGTGTTGTTTGGAGGTTTTTAGATATTACGAAGTACTTTAGCTTTTATAAACCCTCTGGTGATAACGTCTAAGCACCACAGGCTGTAGTCAAGCGGCTTGCGCCCCATCTGCTAATACTGTATCTCATAATGAGCAGAACTAGTTCTTTTTATATTCATCAATTATTCTGGCTGGTAAAGCGTAGCTGCTTACTTGAAGTTATTAATGAAATAACACTTTTACAGTTCTACGAATACAACGAGCAGTTCTGTTACTCTTTTCGCCGCGTGAATTCAGATTCCTACACAAGGTTGCAATTGACAACGGCACAATCGCTAATGAGGTGTGATTTCGGCTCTATTGTGTCATTTGAGATGAGGCGCTTCGCAAGGTTAAGCATATGCGTCTATGGGAAAAACACCAGTGCAGTTCACATTTCTACGCGCATTCACTCTTCTGTTTGTTTTTTCAAAGTACAGTCAAAGAGGAGCTTTTCAGCACAAAATTACTACAAAGCTAACCTAATCTTGACAATTTTAGCCATACCAATAAAATGGCACACTCCGTTTTCTGCAAAAGTAAACCATGTCCCAAGTTATAGCTCTTGCCATATACACGTACCCAAGGCGGCGACTTCGCTGTACTTAAATGGCGTTCGAGTTGCTCTTGTACAGAACTTGTGAAGTGTGAGCGTTGTTTACTTGTCGTTACAACGATTGTGAAAAACGATTTATGACCAGTTTTTAGCAACGACGTAATATCGTACAAACAACTGTGTTACGCTAACAGTTTACGACTTATATATTAGCACTTTTCTACGATTTATCATTCATTTTTTAAATTTTATACAAAACTGAACTAGTTCTGAGAAGTTTAACAGATCACTGCCGTGTCCCAATTCGCAAGCAAAAACAATAACGTTGTCGATTTTGTAAAAACTTCAACTCATATTATCATACAGTATACCAGTATTGTGAAATGTTTACACCGCGATTTACTATGAGCAATTTCGCTGCAGCATGTTTCGTTTTAAAAAATGAAAAGTATATCAAGAAACTAGATCTATAATATAACTACAAAAAAGCTGAGGCAACGAGATCGGAAAAACCAAAACCTAATAAAAAAAACTGTAAACGCCATTAGATTCACAAGCACGAGGACCCAGTTGTGGTTGGACTTCAGGTTCACGCTTAGGCTTATAATAAAGCTTAGAATATACTTTATTTTATTCCATTTTTTTCTATGCCACTGATACCAAGGATAAAATTTAAAAAACTGTCAAAGTTGTTAGAGAGCAAGGATGCAGTATGGAGATCCGTTTGTCTCAGCGCATCATGTTATCGCTCCTGACGTTTGCGCATAATAAAAACGCATGTCAGCATGTTCAGAAACTGTGTCACATGCATTTTATTTCTTAAAAAATTATTTAAACCCGTCCCACCGATGCCGGTTTCGGCAAACTGGCTTCGGTAAAGTTTCAAGGTGACCTTGAGAATAATA